TGTCATATATAACCCTAGCTACCTTTATGCAGAAATTGACAAGCTAATTCTAAAATTGATGTGTAAAGGGATCCAGAAATGTAGGAAGAACAAAATTGAAAGACTTACATTTCCCAATTTGGATTAGTCAAGAATTCTTTGATATGACACTCAGAGCACAAGCAACCAAAGTAAAAATGGATAAATTAGACTTCATAAAAAATTTAAAACTTTTGTGCCTCATAGAACACTATTAAGAAAATGAGATGACAACACACAAATGATAGAAAATATCTGTAAATCATATATCTGATAACAAATCAGTATCTAGGGCCGGCCGAGTGGCGCGTTGGTTAAGAGCTGGCTTGGGACGCCAGAGGGNTATTATTATTTGATGTTATGTAACCATAGGATTCCATATCCTTAGCTAAAGTGTACATGCCTATTCCCTGGATATAGAAATCCAGTTTAAGGAATTATAGTTATACTAAACCATGCTTTGCAAACCTCTGAATTACTCTGCCTCTGTTTAACTTTTTAAAAGATGCTACATTGAAAACTATTCACAGATAGTATCTCATTCCTAATTATACAATAAATATGCACAAACAGAACTTTAGTTCATTGTTCGTGTGTTGCTTAATTTGCCTCTATGGTTGACTATTCACTTTTGTTTTTTAAAGGCAAATGTACATAAATTTGAACTTAATGTCCTAACTCTAGAGAGAGTTCTCTGGGTAAATGACACTGAAGTCCCCCTAAACCTAGAAGACTTAAATTCTCTTTTAAATCCATTTATTGTATTGCTAATATTTATGGTACCCACCCCTCCTTACTGCTTGATGACTGTTTCAGTAGCACTAATCTGGGGCTTTGGTCCTTACTTGAAAGTGCTCTCTTCCCTTTCCTTTCCCACCAGTTGATTCTGTCTCACTTGAGTAAAGCGGTGGTGAGGTACAGATTTGTCAGCTTTGTTTTTAGATTTATAAATACAGAAATGCTGCTGGGTTTTTCTGCTCTATGGTGCTTTCTTCTGCTCTTTCAACATTGACACACTTGTTGGAATTCCTGCAAGTGTTGTTAATTGTAAGATTTGTGAAAGAATGGTGCCAACTTGGGCTAGTGAAGCAACGTCCTCCACAACTAGACTGAAGAACAAAAAAAGACAGCAACTTGTCTGTTCCCCTTCCCCCAATTCACCAGCGCTGTTCCCATCCCCCAATTCCCCAATAAAAACTAAGAAAATAAAAAAAAGGAATGAGTATCTAGAATATATACATAATTCTTACAACTCAATAATAATAAACTAATAGCCCAATTAAAATGGGCAAAGGGTCTTAAAAGACATTTCTCCAAAGAAGATATGCAAATAGTCAATAAACAAGAAAAAAATGCTTAACATTATTGGTCATCAGGGAAGTGCAAATCGAAACCACAGTGAGATACCACTTCACATATACTAGGATGGCTACAATAAAAAAGACAGGTAATAACAAATGTTGGTGAGGATGTGGTGAATTTGGAAACCTCACATGTTACTGGTGGAAACGTAAAATGCAGCCATTTTGTAAAACAGCCTGGTAGTTACAATTTACCCAGCAATTTCACTCTTAAGATACCCAAAAGAAATAGATGTTCAAACAAAAACTTATACACAGTGTCCTTAGCAACATTATACTTGGTACCCAAAGGGTGGGCAACAACCCAAATGCCCGTTAACTGGTGAGTGAATAAACCAAATGTGATACATCCATACAATGGAATGTTATTCTGCCTTATAAAGGAATGAAGTACTAGTACATGATACAACGTGGATGAACCTTGAACGAATTTTGCTAAGTGAAAGAAGTCAGCCACAAAAGGCCACATACTGTATGATTTCATCTATAGGAAATGTCTAGAATAGGCAAATCTGTAGAGACAGAATGTAGATTAGTGTTTTCCTAGGGCTGGAATGAGCAGGCTGGGAGATGATGCGGCGAGTGATAGAGTATAGAGTTCGCTTTGGTATGATGAAGATAGTCTAAAATTGATTGTGGTGATGGTTAAACAGCTTTCGGAATTATACTAAAAACCATTGAATTATACACTTTAAATAGGTGAATTGTATGGTATGTGAAGTATATTTCAGTAAAGCTATTATACACAAACACACAAATGTTTATAGCGGCGTTACTCATAATAACCCCAGCTTGAAACACCAAAATGTCCATCAGTGAAAGAATGAATAACCAAGTTGTGATACATTCCTACCATGTGACATTATTCAGCAATAAAAAGGAGCAAATTACTGATATTCATAATAAATTAGTCACAGAAAATATTGAGCAAAAAAGCTAGACATGAAAGAATACATACTGTATGATTTTATTTAGTGTAAGAGTAGGCAAAGTAATATACTGTATAGTGATATAAATCATGAGTTGACTGCCTCTAGGAGGGGCAAGGGTGGTGTTGACCAGAAGGGAATAAAATAATTTGCTGAGGTGATGGAAATGTTTTACATTCTGATTGAGGATGACATTGGTGTAAACATTTGTTAAAGCTCATCAAACTGTACCTGAGATTGTTGGATTTTACTGTGTGTGAAATTTACTTTCAAAAATAGCCCTAAGGCCTGAGCTGGCATTACAGAAACTGTTCCAGGATCAGAGACATGGCTTCTGATTTGAATGATACAGTGGAGCTAGGATTAAGCCTGTTACATGGTCAGGAGCTTTAAAGAGCTTAAGTCACTGAAAAGATGACTGCAAAATTCTTTCTCTTGGCCTCGCCTAGAGAAAGAGCCTTAGCCAGTATGTGTTAAGCCTTACATAAGGTTTTTAAAAAAGTTACCTTTTAAAAAAGTCAGTGCCCCACATTGTCATCATGAATGAGTATGGGTCTGAATTTATGCTGTGTGTTTTGTGCATAATCTCAAGCTAAGAACTGATCAAAAGCAGACCAGGAACTAGCATAAGCAAACAGTAAATAAACCTCTTTTAAGACTTTGTGAAACTTCTTAGAAAATAACCCCTACCGAAAGTGTACTTATAAACTACCTTGGGAAATCAAATCAACTTGACAAGAAGTTTGTACACAAAGCAAATGGAAGGAATATCATTTTAAGGTTTGGAAGTAGTATTATAGTCTGTAAAATAATGTTTAAAATGGAGAGTTAGAAGAAGGCATAGAAAGCAGAATGAAAGAACAGAATGGAAATTAAAAAAAACAGAAAAAAAACAAGTCATAATGGTGAGACACAAAACAGTCACAGATACAAAATTACCCACACCCAAATGGCGTTGCCACAGTTTATTTCATAAAATAGAAAATAGGGTACAGTGGTTGTGATAGTGTTGAGTGATTTCTTAAAACTAGGTAATAATTTAGTATATTTAATATCCTGAACTTACATGTAAAACTTTAATACCATAATCATACTTCTGACTAGCAGATTATCAAGTTAACTATCGAAGGGCCTGAAAATCTAGTGATAACTTTTTAAAATTACAATTTGGGTGAAGTACGTGTAGGTATTTTTTTCTCAAATGGTCCCCCTCAACTGCTCTCTCTCCCTCAGCTAACTAAGTGGAGTCTAGTCGAGTAAACATTCGTTCTCCAAGCACCACATCAAAGGGGGAATTATTGATAATAATGAGAGTAGAATATTTTTACTGAGGTATCTTTTGACTAAGAAATGTCAGGTAAGTTGGTAATAATTGTTTCTTTTTGAAACATTGAGCATTTGCAACTATATGAGCTCTTCATATTGGATAAATGAGATAGTGTTTTATTAGCGTATATTTTTATTATTGGATGTGAAAAAGATTTTCAAATTCATATTAAAAAGCCTGGTATTTGTATGTATATTATTATTTGATGTTATGTAACCATAGGATTCCATATCCTTAGCTAAAGTGTACATGCCTATTCCCTGGATATAGAAATCCAGTTTAAGGAATTATAGTTATACTAAACCATGCTTTGCAAACCTCTGAATTACTCTGCCTCTGTTTAACTTTTTAAAAGATGCTACATTGAAAACTATTCACAGATAGTATCTCATTCCTAATTATACAATAAATATGCACAAACAGAACTTTAGTTCATTGTTCGTGTGTTGCTTAATTTGCCTCTATGGTTGACTATTCACTTTTGTTTTTTAAAGGCAAATGTACATAAATTTGAACTTAATGTCCTAACTCTAGAGAGAGTTCTCTGGGTAAATGACACTGAAGTCCCCCTAAACCTAGAAGACTTAAATTCTCTTTTAAATCCATTTATTGTATTGCTAATATTTATGGTACCCACCCCTCCTTACTGCTTGATGACTGTTTCAGTAGCACTAATCTGGGGCTTTGGTCCTTACTTGAAAGTGCTCTCTTCCCTTTCCTTTCCCACCAGTTGATTCTGTCTCACTTGAGTAAAGCGGTGGTGAGGTACAGATTTGTCAGCTTTGTTTTTAGATTTATAAATACAGAAATGCTGCTGGGTTTTTCTGCTCTATGGTGCTTTCTTCTGCTCTTTCAACATTGACACACTTGTTGGAATTCCTGCAAGTGTTGTTAATTGCAAGATTTGTGAAAGAATTGGTTAACTTTTGGTAAATTGTTTTGGGTAAATTTCTCTTTGGGGTTCATCAGTGTTCCTTGCATTGTTGCCAACTATATGCTAATATATTTCAGATCAGATAAAAAAGTCCATTCAAACAAACAAAACTAAACCATACAAATTGTTTGCGTAGTTTCCCTAGTATTTTAAATTAGAAACTTTTAGTATGGTGTTAACTAACTCACAACACTTGGAGTACTGAAGAAGATATTTTGAATATCTGAAAAGGACCTTTATTTTTTCCTGTTATTGTTGTGTAAGTTCCTCAGATAATTTGGAAAAATAATTCGCATTTAACCCCTATTACTTGATATATTAGTATATACTCTTAAGATAGTTGGCAGCATTGTCCTTGATTCTCTATTGGTTTGGGCTTATATAATGTCTTTCTCTTTTCTCCATTTTTTGTTTTTCTTTTGCTTCCTAAGGACATGATGATACAGCGCCATGTGCAATTTTGAAAAGTATGGATAGTTTTAGCTTTCTCCAACACCCAGTCCACCAGAGGAGCTTAGAGATTCTGCAGAGGTGCAAGGAAGAGAAGTACAGTAAGGCTGCAAATCCTGATAAACTCTGTGTCATCACATATCCACTTGGAAATGGAAACCAGGCGCATTCTACACCAGGGGGGACATAATTGCATAGGCAGTGTGACCTCTGTTATCCTTTGACCAGTTGATCTCAGGATATTTTCATTGAAATTTTAGTTTTTGTCTTAAAAAAGTTGATAGACCTGTTCTTTCAACTTTGATGACTATTTGCCTGTGATCCTTGAGTTGTTAATTACACTTGGTTTTTTTGAATTGGTTTTCATTTTTGGCTTTAAAGTAGCTGAGTGATAGGTAAAAATAAATGATTTTTTTAAGCTTTATTGAAAACTAATTGAGGTAAACTGCATGCAAAAGTATAGAGTTTGGTAAGTTTTTACATATATATGGACCTATGAAATCACTATAATCAAGATAATTAATATATCCAACACTACGAAAAGTTTCTCTGCCCTTTCTAATTCTGGCTGAGTTTTAAGCTTGCTTATGCTTGAATTTCAACATCAGCAGTGTTGCTTTTGTGTATCATTGGTAAATCACTTAGTTTGATTACATGCAGTCCTCCTATCAGACTTTCCTATATTCTATTTAGAGCAAAGCCATCATGTTAATATTTTGGCCTAAGGAAAAATGATAGAATCATAGCGGGTGTTTTCTTTTTTTAAATAAAATAGGTGTAAAAAGATGCCCTTGGTCTCCATTTCCTCCTGTTTTATATGTTATACTCTTATTCTGCATGAAAATGGGTTCTTTTGCCTGTTGTGACTATTTGCCTGTTCTAGTTATTTGGCTATTGCTATAGGAGAATAAAGGGATAGATACTACACAGTATTTGAAGCTTAATTCAGAAATTTGCATATAATAGACTTAAATTATTTACATATTCTATTCTCAGCGTTTTTACAAATCACCACAGATGATACTTTGCTAATTTCACAGTTCTGTGATTGAAATTCCGTGAAATTTTAGTATTCAATTATCAGTGAATATAAGGGCAATTCCTAAAAGCAAATGTGGGTTTTTTCTTTTGTTCTTACTTTTGTTGTCGTGGTATAAGAAAATGTGGAATGCATATTGAAAAATATTATTTAAAATATTTTCTCATTTTAGAAAGAACAGGTAAGTATTTCATTTTAAAAAGACATCCTTAAATGTTACTCTTAATTATTGCTATTTTTATTTTATTATTATTTTTAATAAAGAATCTTGAAGGTTTTATTTTTTATGTAGCTTAGATACAGTAACACATCAAAAATGAAACCCATTGGTGTTTTTCTTTTTTTTTCCTTCAGCTTCTGCTATCCATATATATTATATGTTTTTTTAAATTAAAGTTTATTGGGATGACAATAGTTAGTAAAGTTACATAGGTTTCAAGTGTACAATTCTGTAATACATCATCTATAGGTCACATTGTGTGTTCACCACCCAGAGTCAATTCTCCTTCCATCACCATATATTTGACCCCTTTTACCCGCATCTGCCACCACTCTCCCCCTTACCCTTTGGTAACCACTAAACTATTATCTGTGTCTATGAGTTTTTGTTTCTTTATTTGTCTTGTTTCTTTGTTGCTTTCAGTTTTATACATCACATATCAGTGAAATCATATGGTTCTCAACATTTTCTGTCTGACTTATTTCACTTAACACAATCTCAAGATCCATCCATGTTGTCACAAATAGCACTATTTCATCTTTTCTTATGGCAGAATAGTATTCCACTGTGTATTGCTATTATTTCTAAAATATATATAACAAGTCCTTATTCCAATTATCTATCTCTCTTTTCTAAATCTTTAATTAGAACATGAGACGTTGTTTAAAGCAGTCTAGGAATCTTTTGGGGGGCAATTAAATTAATTCTTTTTAACTTTTAAATAGTTGCAAGTGGTATATTTGCTTTGTTGATTTCCATGATAAACCTCGGCTTGATTTATCCCAGCTTAGTATATACAGATCCAGAATAGGAAGTCACCAATTTTAACATAGGCTGCATGAGGACATTGTACATTTATCTGTGTTCACATGCAAATTTATTTCTACATTTGTGGAAGTTGGAACTTTTCCATTTTTTTAGGTAGTTATTCCATTTTTCATTATAGTACTACAATAACTAGAAATTTATAATATATCAAATTATAAATTCAAGTTCAGATTGTTTTTTAAAAATCAGGGGACTACCAGCTTTAGGTAATGGTGAATTGGTGATGTGAATGACTCCTCCCTCAGGTAACAGTGATGAAACCTGGTAAATTTAAAAATAAACTATTTAAAAGCACTGGAAAAAGACAGAAGAAGACTAAAAGACCAAAAAGAAGCAGAAACCAGAAGAGAGTCAATCTTTAAGTAGAGTACTGAGTAAGAATTATGGATGCGTGACTTTTTGCATAAGGTAGTTTCCAACTCCCATAGCTCCAGAGATAGAAAACCATAACCATACTGACTTGAGGTGTCACAGGACAAAGTTGAGTACTGGCGAGCAGCTTGGAATTTAGGAGGAAAATCATGGAACTGAGAGAGTTAGCTGCCAAATGACTAAAACCCAAAGTTGGAGTATTAATTCTGCCAACCATACCTGGCTGACTGCTGTGAGTATTCAGGAAGCCCCCTTCAGAAAACACTGCAAACCAAATAGAAGGTAACCTTTGAAGGATCCAATTGCAATAGGTGACATTTGCAAGTTTGTTGCGTTTCTAACTGAGGACTTTTTGTTTCTGTGCCATAGCTCCTGTAGGGAGAAATCTGAATATTTACTGCCTTGGAATTGGCATCCCATAAGTAGAGGAGAGAGAGAAAGAGGCAGAAGAATATTTAAAGAAATAGTGGCTGAAATCTTTCATGTTTGATTAAAAAAAAATAGCTTAGAGATGTATGATCAGTGACCTCCAAGCAGAATAAATACAAAAGAAAACCACAACTAGGCACATTATGGACAAATTGCTAAATGCCAGAGATAGAGAAAAATCTTGAAAGCAGCTAAAAGAAAATATAGCACATTAAATACAGGGGAATAATGATATAATTAACACCTGACTTCTCATTAAAGCATTGTAGGCTGAAAGATATGCAAAAATCATAATTAAAATAAAAACAAAACAATACAAAACCCCTAAACAAAAACCAACTTTCAGGCAAAACTTCTGTATTTGTAGTTTGGGACCAGACAAGTTAACTATATGTTAGAAGAAATAGTAACAGCCTTCAGAAGAACATAACAGAATCCAGTGTTGCTACAATGTGTTATCCACAGTGTCCAATTATCAGTTAACAAAAGTATCCTTCAAGGGCCGTCCCATGGCTCAGTTGGTTGGGAGTTGGCTTGGGAATGGGAGCTCTGAGCAGCAGGGTTGCCAGTTCGATTCCTACATGGGCCAGTGCTGCTACGCCCGAGCTGAGCTGCCGCTGAGCCTGCCAACAGGTGGCAGGATGGCTCAGCAAAAAAAATAATAATAAAAAAATAAATAAATAAAATAAAAAGCATCCTTCAAAAATGAAGCCAAAATAAAAATGTTTCAGATAAACAGAATCAGAGAATTTGTCTCCGTAATACATAGAAATGATAATGGAAATTCTTTAGGCTAAAGGGAAATGACACCAGATGGTGGCCTGGATATGTAGTAGAAGTTGGTAAACTTTTTCTGCAAAGGTCTAGATAGTAAACATTTTAGGCTTTTTGGGTTAGGTGGTTTCTGTTGAAACAACTCAGCTCTGCTGTAGCCATAGAGCCATAAATAATACATAAACAAATGGGCATGGCTGTGTTCCAGGAAAACTTTATTATACACACTGAAATTTAAATATCATATAATTTTCATGTCACAAAAGTATTCCATTGACTTTTCTTCCTGAAGCATTTAAAAATGTAAAAGCCATTCTTAGTTCGCAGACCATACAAAAACAGGTAGTGTGTTTGATTTAGCTTATTGATCCATGAATTATTGGAATAAAGAAACCAGAAATAATAAATATGTATAAAAACAAATGACTGTACACATTTTCTTCTCTTTATTTAAAAAAGATATATGACTATTTAAGGTAAAAATTATTCCATTGTTCTGCTGGTTTAAAATGTGCCCTAAAGAAAAAGGAAAAAACCAAAACCAAAACCAAAACAAAACAAAATAATGTGCCCACAAATTCTTTGATACTCCTCCCTTGAAAATGCATGTTCTGTACATAGTGACTCACTTCTAACAAATGGAATGTGGCGGAAGGGACAGTGTAACCTTCAAGATTAAGACACACAAGGTATTGTGGCTCTTCCTCCTTTCCATTTCTGGCGCTCCCACGTCTCTGTGGTGACTATTCTCTGAGATTTGGCAGGAAGGAAATTAGAGGAGTGGGGAAAAATAGGGGTTCGTGGGAATATGAGCTGCAGCCCCACTTCTGCAGGTTAGGAATCCTGGAAAGGAGAAGGAATAAGATGGTAGGATGAAGAGAAAGAGAATAGAATAGAAGAACTTCAATTTGAACTCACACTTTTGACCTTCAATCTAGACTCGGGACAATGGAGATTGTGATGTTTATGAAAAAGATAAAGGGTCAGCTATTGTTAGAAAAGTGCTGTGGTTGGTACACCTAACTCCTCTCACCTTGCTGACAAAACCAGACAAAAACATTGTAGGAAAACTACAGACCAACATACCTCATTATAATAGATGTAGAAATCCTGAATAAAAGCAGGAATTCAGGAATATATTAAGGGATAATACATGAAGGCTAAGTAGAATTTATTCCAGGAATGAAAGGTTGGTTTCATATTAGGAAATTAATCAATGTAACTCAACATATTAACCATCTAACAAAGAAAAAAACCTATGATTATCTTAGTAGATGGATAAAAAGAATTTGTCACAATTCTGTACCCATTCCTATTTAAAAACTTTTAGTGGCCTAGGAATAGAAGGCAGCCTTTTCAACTTTATAGAGACTACACATGAAAATCCTACAGCAGACTTCATACTTAATGGTGAAAACTGAATACTTCTTTGATACTGAGAACAAGGCAAAGATGTTTGTTTTCACCACTCAATTTAACATTGTAATAAAGTCATAGACAGTGCAATAAGGCAACAAATAGAAATAAAAGATACATAGATTGAAAAGGAAAATGTAGACAGCATGATCATCTATATAGCAAGTGCTAAGAAGTAAGTGCTAAGAACATGGCAGAAGTAATAGTATGTTACTTCTGAAACTAAGTTATGTAAGACTGCAGTTTCCATCTTATGTTATTTCTTGCTTATTAGCTCCCACTCTGATCGCTGTCTCTGAGAGTAGAAAACTGCCATTTGTGAGTAGCCCTATTAAAAAATCCCACTGATGCCTCTAGTCAACAAGCATTAAGGCTTGCCACCAAATGCTTGAATGATATGTGAGGACTGGCAGTGACTACAGTGGAGAAATTGATGTGCAGGGGCTGATCCTCTGGAGCAGGTTTCTTTTTAGCAGGGTGCTGGTGCCTACCACAGCATGAGCCAAGACAGGCCATCTGTATGGAAATGCCAGTGGAAGCGGCCTTTGTGTGCCCTAAAGTTGGGTGGGGTAGGGTCTCAGAATCACTAGGGTGGGGCAAAGGGTGGTAACCAGGTTGATGGAGACTGAGATATGGGCCCTGCTCGCATATGCACATTGGGATGGAGGAGGACTCAACAAAGGAACAGTGTTTCCTGCTAGCACTTCAGTCTGGAGGAAATCTGTCCCTCCAGCCGTTTTTCTGAACCCAGATAATTCCGTTCCTCCCTATGACTTGACTGCCTTTCCAGCTGTTGTCCCAGTGCTGGAGCTCAGAAACAGTGAGTCCCTAAGTGAGGAAGCCTGTGCGGGCCCTTTAAGAGGAACGCCTGGGACTCCAGTAGCCCTCTCTCAGTCAGCCACAGTCTCCCATGGTTTTCATATCTAGAAGTTCTGGGGATTTCTATTCCCAGCATTGGAACCCTGTGCTGGTCTTGAGCTGGGACTCCTTGTTCCTTAGCGGGGACCTCTGCAGCTGAGATATTCCTCCGATTTTTAACCGCCACTCATGGTTATGGGACCAGCCTTTTCTGTGTCACCACCCATTCTGTTAGTCTTGATGTGGCTTCATCTATATATCCTTAGTTACAGGACTTCTGTTCATCTAGACTTCAGGCAATTTGCAATGATGGTGGTTCTGTGATTTATTGTAATTTTGTTGTGGTCGTGAGAGGAGGCAAGCACAGCTTTTACCTATTCTGCCATCTTGAGTAGAAGCTGTGCTTTCTTGGGCAGAACTTATCAGTGAAGTTAGTGTATCATAAAGTAGACATATGTTTAATATAATTAGGAACTATCAAACTTTTGGCTTTTTAAGAATATTGTTTTATTTTCTTCTTTGCTGCATTATTTGTGATGATAAACTGATCTTATTGTCATTCTTTCATATCGAAATCACCTTTTTTCCTTTCACTGCTTCAAGATTTTCTCTTTATCCTTTGGTTTTCAGAATTTGTGATGTACCTAAATATTTATTTTGTCTGGGATTTGCTGTACCTTTTGGACCTGCTCTTCATCATTTGTCATTAAATTTAGGAAATTTTAGACCAATATTTTTTCAAAAAAATTTTCTGCTGCAATTTCTCTTTTTCTTCTGAGGCATGAGTTTCATGTTCTTAGAATATTTGATATTGTCTCACAGATTCCTCATACTCTGTTCATTTTTCTTCTGTTTTTTAGATTGGATAATTTTTATTTATCTGATTTCAAGTTCCTTGTGCTGTTTCAGATCTCCTCTTAAACCCATAGAATGAATTTTTCACTTCAGAAGATTTCAGGTTTTAGTACCAGAATACCCATGTGCTTCCTTTTTACAGTTTCCATTTCTTTCCTGAGATTTCATATTTGTTAACTCCGTAAGACAATCTTAAATCATTGAACAGTATGATAACTATGGGTTGTCGGGAAAGTCATGACGCATTTTTGCATTGAAAAACATAGAAAAATACGTCATGACTTGCCCGATGACCCAATACTTTAAGTCCTTTTATGATAATTCAAACAAGTAGCAATGTTGGGATTTGATGCTCTCGGAATGGGGTCAAAGAGATGCACAGGTTCCATTGTCTAACGAGTGATTACTTGCAAGTGTTGACTATAATATTCCTTATGGCTTTTTAATGTTTAAAATATTTAATAATTGAGGTTAAAATCATTATATAGAGGGAAATTAGAAAGCGAAATGATATGCATAAAAGAACCACCTGAAAAGAAACCCTCTATGGTGTTTGGAGGGAAGATACTGCCAAGAAAGAGGAGAAATGTCCCTGTGAGTATTTTACAGTATAGAAGAATTTAAGAACATGAATGAAATAAAGCAACAGCACAGATTGAAGGCTATAAAGTATCAGTATGATATTGAAAATAGGTATTTAGCTACTAAAACAAGCAGAGGTATAAATCAACATGTGTGAGCTCAAGAAATAGAGGAAACAGCTGAAAATTAAATTACTAATATTGGGGAAAGGCCTGAGATGATGATATGATTCAATACACAGAAGTAAAGAATGGATATGAAGGATAGAAAGTGATAATTTATCATAGGGAAATTGGTGACTGTGACTTAGGAACTGAGTAAATAAAATGAAAAAAAATGCATTCAGATATATAAGAAAAAGTTGTTTAAAGTCCTAACTGAATTGGTGGATCACAAGACATGTTTCCAATAATAGTTTTTATGTTGGTGTGGATATGTGTCTTCAATTATTTTAAGTATATACTTAGTGGAATTGCTAGGTCCTATAGTAACTATGTTTAATTTTTGATGAACTGCTCGACTGTTTTGCACAGTGACTGTATTGTTTCACATTCAGCGCTGTATGAAAGGTTCCATTTTTTTCCATGTCCTTGCCAATACTTACTGTTCTTTTTATTATATTAGGTTGTCGGATAAGTCATGATGTATTTTTTCTATGTTTTTCGTTGCAAAAATGCATCATGACTTTTTCAACAACTCTATAGCTATCAGTGGGTATGAGCTGGTATCGCATTGTAGTTTGATTTTCATTTCTCTGATGACTAATTATGTTGAGCATCTTTTCATGTTTTTATGATCTATTTGCATATCTTTGGAAAAATATCTGTTCTTTGGTTCAAAATATATAATCCTTTGTTCATTTTAAAATTTGGTTGTCTTTTTATTTTTCAATTGCAAGAAGTCTTTTTATATTTGGATTCAAGTTTCTTATCAGATGCTTGATTTGCAAACATTTTCTACTATCCTGTGGATTGTCTTTTCACTTAATGATATAGTGTCCTTTGAAGCATGAAAGTTTTAAATTGTGATGATGTTCAGTTTATCCATTTTTTTCTTTGGTTGCTTGTCCTTTTAGTGTCATATCTAAGTAACTACGGCCTAATCAAATGTTAGAAAGGATTACTCCTTGGTTTTCTTGTAAGAGTTTTATAGTTTAGCACTTAAATTTTGGTCTTTGATCCAGTTTCATTCTTTTGCATGTGGATATCTAGTTTTCCCAGCATGATTTCTTGAAAAGATTATTCTTTTCTCATTGAATTGTCTTAGCACCTTTGTCACAATTTAGTTGAACATAAATGTAAAGATTTATTTCTCTACTCTAAGTGCCTTTCCATTGATTTCTTTGTCTATTGTTATGCCGGTACCATACTGTCTCAGTTCCTTTTTCTTTGTAGTAAGTTTTGAATTTTGGAAGTGTGAGTCCTCCAACCACTCTTTTTCAACATTGTTTTGGTTATTCTAGGTTCCTTGCAGATACATCTTAATTATAGGGTCAGTTTATTCATTTTTGCAAAAAAACCCAGAATTTTAGTAGGGATTGCATTGATCTGTAGATCTATCTGTAGATAGATCTGTAGATCTGCATAAGAGGGAAGAGTTGCCCTCTTGACACTATTAACTTTTCCAATCCATGAGTATGGATCGCATTCCATTTATTTAGATATTCTTTAATTTCTTTTAATAATGTAGTTTTCAATATAGACATTTTATACTTTTTTGTTAAACTTATTTCTTTTATATTACTTTAATGTTATTATTAATGAAATTGTTTTCTTAAATTTATTATCTGATTGTTTATTGCAATTGTATAGAAATAGAATTGATTTTTGAATATTGCTCTTATATCTTGTAATTTTACTAAACTCATGTATTAGTCCTAATAGTTTTTTGTGGATTAATTAGGATTTTCGACATATAAGATTGTATCTCGAATAGAGATACTTTTACTTCTTCCTTTCCAGTGTTTCTTACCTATAGTAAATGTCTCTGTATGCACATGTACATTATGAAAATTGATAGCCTTTGCTTATACAGCTTCAGTGTTTATTATATAATTTGAAGAAAATTATAACTTAAAATATGTTGGTAATTCTTAAGGAAGCAATTTGTCATCTTTTATTCCCTATAGTTTTATATGTAAGATTAACTGATCTTTAAAATCTATAGTCCATGTCAGCAATATATTTATTGTTGAAAAATGCTGCAAAGAAATCATTAGGAATTTTTAAAATATTAAAATAAGAAATGAGCTTGTATGCTTTGAGACTTTCAGCCTAGTAACCCTTGTATTTCCTGATAATGTTTAAATTAGAGAAGAAATAAAAGAATGTATTATTAAATTCCCTAATTAGGTTCATTGTTGGCTAAGTCAGATTTGTAAGTAGTAGTCATGGGACTTGGTTCATGTCATTTAGATGTTTCCGACATTTAGCACACATTTACTATCAAAGCACATTAATTTCATTTGTCCTTAGAAATATTGTTTCATGTTTAGTTTCTCTTAGCATTGATTGAAAATTTCTGCTCTTTATATGCTAGGTATAACCCGGAAAAATCCCAGGACTCCTCTTTCTGATCTCCAGGGCATGAATACTCTAAATGAAAAGCACCAACAGTAAGTGTGTTTGGTTTATGTTTTCAAGGGAGTGTAGAAGAAATAACTAGAATACTTATTAATACTTTTAAAAAATTTATCAGTGTGACAGTGGTTAGTAAAATTACGTAGGTTTCAAGTGTACAATTCTGTAATACATCATCTGTATATATCACATTGTATGCTCACCACCCAGAGTCAGTTCTCCTTCCATCACCATATATTTGACCCCAATACTTTTGGGGCTTTAAAAATATGAAGAAAATCAGGCAGAGTTTGCCTTATTTCTTAAGTCTTTTATAAATGATGTAATAATAATGTTAGAGTTAATAAAACTATTAGGACTAAATTATCTAAGATTGCCTCTTATAAAATGGTTGTACAGTGAAAAACAAAATAATTTAAAATGAGTGCATTTGTTTTAATTTCTGAGACCCTTCTTGCATTTTGTTTTTTTGCGAAATTATTCTTCCGCTTTCTCTGGAGAAATCTTACTGGTAAGTAATAATTGAGTAGTTTGATTTACATCAAACCTTTGACCACCTTTTCTTGATGAGTGTGATAATCAGCTTACTTTTTAACCATTTTTAATGAAGAATTCTTGAGTATAATTTGAAAGGAAGTATAAATAATATTCTGAGTTTGTAAATAAAGTTACTTTGCTCTTTACACATATTATTTTGTAAAGATTGTACTTTATATGAGCAAAAGAGCATTGTTTAGTGTCTAGAGTCTGCTGTCTGCATTTTAAACATCAAGAGAATTGAGCTTCTTGGCACCTTGGTAATAAGGATGGTCTGTTATTAAAATTAAAGTATAACTTTATTGATCATTTTTTCCAGTTTTAATTACTATGTCTTTCTAATGTATAGTGTTACTTATCTGCTCAGTAACTTTTTTATAACTCTTTGTTGTTTGTTAAAAGAAATCTATTCTCACATGCAAGAACTGTCATTGCCCAAGTATCTGATCTCAACTATATTTAACTTAAGTGCCAATGGATTGAACTATTTGCTGTCTTTATAGTGTATGAATTTAGTTTTCTGAACAGTAATAACTTGACAAATGATGAAATGCACAGCCGTATTTGCACATTAAATTTTACCCAAGAACAAATTTATCATTAATCTGGTGACCTTTGTACTTTTAATTAAGTCTATTAACAGTACAGACATACCCTGCAGGTTTGGTTCCAGACCAATGCAATAAAGCAAATATCACAATAAAGTGAGTCCAACAGGGCAGATGCATCAGAAAGGTTTTTTTCAGAAAAAGAATGTTTTCAACTTTTCTGAGAGAACAGAGTCCTATGAAGAGGGGGGTGATGCCTTCCAGGCAGAGGAGCAACCTATATGACGGTCCAGGAGCAAAAAGAGAGAGAGCTCTTTCTAGGGAGCATGATACAAAGAATCAAAAGAAGATGAGTATGAAGAGAAAAGTGATGAGAGTTGAGTCTAGAAAGAAAAAAATAGTCATAGGCTGGTACATATAGGCCTTTGTTAACCATCTTGGAGAGAATGGACTTCATCAGTTTAATTAGAAGTTATTTAATGCTTTTAAGCAGGGCACTGACTGACATTTCAGAAGAATCTCTCTGGTTGATTTATGGAGAATGGCTTGATGAGGCACTAGACTGGATACAGGGAGACTAATAGTTCTGGCAAGAGATGATGACTTGGAATGGGTGGTGGTGGTGGGTATACATTGCTGTGAACCCAAATTAAGAAGGAAAATTAAGAGAGAATCTATATATCTCTCACCTTATTTCATGAGGATTCAGAGTTTATGAGAAGTATATATTGGATCATCTCTATACAAATAATTTTTATGTGTATACAACAAATATATAACTGTGATCGAATATATATGAGGAATGAGTATACATAGAGAAAAAAGACATTGTATGTGCCATCAATCTTAGTAGCAATGTCCTAAGCTAAGGGAGACTGAAATGCTTAACTCTTAAAAATCTGAAACAAATATCTATGTCATCATTTCATTGAAACAAACAACTGGTACAAAGAATTTTAAGTGCACAGAGGTTCTCTGTTTTCCCTAGCATTGCATTGATTGTTCTCATTTTCTGTGGCACAGCCAATTTTTTCTTTCACTTCTAATCTTCTACTTCACCATCATTGAGCCTGCCATTCTAATTCTGGGACTCTTTCTGTTAACCTAATATGAAATACTAGTAAAAACTTGCTAGTAAGACTAATAAAAACTGTTTTGCCATAGACCTTTCTGTAGCATGTAGGAGGAAGAGAACTGGTTTGGGAGTTACCAAAATTTGTTCTTGGCCAAGCCTATCTTCTTAACCTGTGATTGTAATTCTGGTGTGCCTTTGTTTCAGAGAGAGTCAGGGGGAGTGAGAGGGAGGGGAGAAGAGGGAGAGAGGGGGAGGGGGAGAAGGAGAGGGAATGAGAGAGAGAGAGAGAGAGAGAGAGAGAGGTGGAATGTATTTATGTGTCTATATAAAATTTTTGGAATACATTGGCTGAGGAGAGGGAATCATGAAGGATAGTTTCTAGATTTCTGGCTTAGTACTTAGATAGGGAATATAGGAGGAACAACAGTTTTGCAGTTTTGAAGGCGGAATGAAAGTTTCAGCATGGATATGATACCTTGAGCTTCCTAAGAGCATCCATCAAGAAAGATAGAATAAATTTTGGGATACACAGATAACAGTCAAATAGTATTTGGGTTGGAGATATATTTTGTAATTTATTGGGGATCCATAATATCTGTATCTCAAGATTGTTTCCCTCTGAGGGGTCAGCCCCACACAGCAGCTCATACACTGTGGGCATAACTAATCCTTACAGCCTATCAGCCTGAGAGCCAATCCCACCCACTGATGCGCCAAAAGCAATCAAGGCTCAACTACAACCAGAGAATACACACAACACACAAGGGACACCCCTGGAACACATTCACAGGTGATTAGGGAGACTGTGCCATTGGACCACTCAGAACACCTACTACATAAGGCCACCCAGCAAAGACTGAGACACATAAGAACTCTACCTAATACAGAGAAGCAAACACAGATGAAGTCAGAATGAGGAAACAAACAAACAAACAAAACATGTCCCAGATAAAAGAGCAGGAGAAAACTCCAGAAGAATAACTAAACAATGGAGGCAACCAACGTACCAGAGACAGTTTAAAACACTGACTGTAAGAATGCTTAAGGAACTTAGTGAGAACTTCAACAAAGAGATAGTGAGCATAAAGAATGACATAGAAACCATAAAAAAGAACCAGTCAGAAATAAAGAATACAATAGTTGAAATGAAGAATACACTAGAAGGAATCAACAGGTTAGATGAAGCAAAGGATCGAATCAACAATATAGAAGATAAGGTAGCAGAAAACACCCAATCGGAATAACAAAAAGAAAAAAGAATTAAAAAAAAAGAAGATAGTTTAAGGGACCTCTGGGACAACATCAAACATAACAACATTCGCATCATAGGAGTACCAGAAGAAGATGAGAGGGAGCAAGGGATTGAAAACCTAACTGAAGAAATGACATAAAACTTTCCTAACTTGGGAAAGGAAATAGACATACAAGGCCAGGAAGTGCAGAGTCCCAAATAAGATGAACCCAAAGAGGCCCACATCAAGACACATTATAATTAAAATGCCTATGTTAAAGACAGAGAGAATCTTAAAAAGAGCAAGAGAAAGACAACTAGTTACTTACAGGGGAGCTCCCATCAGATTGTCAGCTGATTTCTTAACAGATGATTTGCAGGCCACAGGGATTGGCAGGAAATATTCAAAGTGATGAAAAGCTAGGGCCTATAACCAAGACTACTGTACCCAGCAAAACTATCATTAAAAATTAAAGGAGAGACCAAGACAAGAAAAAGCTAAAGGAATTCATTACCACCAAGCCAGTATTATAAGAAATGTTAAAGCCACTTTTTTTTTTTTTAAAGTTTTTTTTATTGGGAAATTGGGGGTATGGGAACAATGCTGGGGAATTGGGGGAAGGGGAACAGACAAGTTGCTGTTGTTTTGTTCTTCAGTCTAGTTGTGGAGGACATTGCTTCACTGGCCCAAGTTGGCACCATCATTGTGCTCTTCCCAGGCGAGGCAGATCAGTCGCCAGCTTCTGGATGGCCGCTCACAGCGGCTGCTGGCCACTCACACTGGCTGCTGGCTACACACGGTGATAGCCCATGGCAACCCACTGCCACAGGGGCTGCAGCCTACGCTGTTGCCGGTGATTCACGGCAGCCCAGCTCCAGGTCGAGCTGTTGTTCAGCATCTTAGCTGTGGAGGGCAGTGTCACTGGCCCTCATATGTGGGATCTGAACCGGGGCCCTCTGGCATCCCAAGCCAGTTCTTAACCATCGCGCCACTCGGCTGGCCCTAAAGGTACTTTTTTAAGAAGAAGAATGGGGAAACATAAACAAAAGAAGATAAAATATATGAATAATAAAATGGCAATAACTAAGTAACTATCAACCACTTTAAGTGTAAACGGATTAAATAGTCCAATCAAAAGACATAGGGTAGCTGAGTGGATAAGAAAACAAGACCCATACAAAGGGATGGAATAAAATATTTCATGCAAATGGAAATGAGAAAAAAGCTGGGGCAGCAATATATTACATCAGAAAAAATAGACTTTAAAATAAAGACCATAATAAGAGACCAAGGACATTACATCATGTTAAAGGGATCAATCCAACAAGAGCACATAACCCTAGTAAACATCTATGCACCCAATATAGGAGCACCTAAATATATAAAGTAAAAATTGACTGACATGAAGGCAGAGATTAACAGTAATACAGTCATAGTAGAGGACGTTAATACTCCATTGACACTAATGGACAGATCTTCTAGACAGATAATCAACAAGGAAACACTGGTATTAAATGATAAAATAGACCAGATGAATTTGATTGATATTTTTAGAACATTTCACCCTAAAGCAGCAGAATATGCTTTCTTTTCAAGTGCACCTGGGACATTTTCCTAAATAGACCACATGTTAGGCCACAAAA